GACTGCCTTCAGCTCAGGTCATGATCCTGGAGTCCCGGGATCGAGTCCCGCATCGGGCTCCCTGCTCAGCGAGGAGCCTGCTTCTCCCTCTGGCTCTCTCTCTCTCTCTCATTCTCGCTCTCTCAAATAAATAAATAAATCTTAAAAAAAAAAACAAACAACTATTTGCTTTAAGCATTACTGGGAAATCTACTGGATTGACTTCTATATTTCTCGCCATCTGACACTGCTCAGGCTTTTCTTGATCTCCCCAACTCTACTTTGTGAACTGTATTTAGGGTATTATACTATAATACAGCAATTCCCTCAAGTAACAGGGATTCTGTTCTGTTTACCTGTTTAAATAATTCTAGACTACCAGTTCTTTTTAATTTAAATATCTGTGGGTCTTCCCCCTCTTTTCTCCTATTATCAAGGCACCTTCCTCTAAGAGTCCTCCCTCCTCCAACTCTTTCTCTTCTAATTGTTCCTTCTATGTTTTCAAAGTAAAAAAATTAAGTTTGGTAAAACTGCATTAAAAAATTTTTTTAAGTAAATCAACTTAACTAAGAAATTTCTCTAACAGTGGAGTATATCAAAATGACTCAGAAAGTATTTTTATTTCCAGGTTCCGGAATAAGAGAACTCCGAGAACTAAGGCAGTTATGTCCTATTACATCAATCATGTTATTGGTTACTTGCAGCAATTCAGTGACATGGTTCAATAAATAAGAGGGTGGTAGATAGAAACACATTTTTAAACACAAAGAAGTATATTAATTTTTCTCTATATGCTCCTTTGTTTGTATCCTCAAAAGCTCTGGTTCATTTTTATGGAAAAATGTGTGTTAAATAGTCTTTCACTGAAATTCTTGAAACACCACTAGTAAGTCAAAGTACAACAAATATTTAATTTACCTGTAGACCAGATCTTTAGCATCTTATCCCAGGAGCCACTGCAAAACTAAAAAGATATACATAAAGAGAAAAAGAGTATGTAATATAACCTACCATATTATTTGCCTTGTTTTTTCTATTGTAACTTTTAAAACCTTTACTTTGTTCTGAAATCCTTTACTACTATGGTACCTACATGGCTTCCTAGTTTCCTAGAAGTTTTATCCTCAATCTCAAGGCAACTGAAGGAGCTTCCATTCTTATATGGCCCTGTGCCCTGGCTATGGTTGCTTAGATCGAGGTGGACAACTGGTCTACACTGTGCACACAGGTCCCTTCCTCCTTCAGGACCTTTTTTTGAAAACTTGTGTTCCAGAGAGTTGAAGTTAGTCTTTTTCAGGGACTGATGGTATAGGATATAAAACCTAGGAATACTGAAAGCCAGACTGCTTTTTTTACTGCCATGTGGAAAAAGCCAGCTTGAGGTAAAAGAGAATAAAGTCAATTTAGGGAGATGAGTGGCGGAGGGGGGGTGTTGGCCACATTCAAGCTCAATTCCTTTGGTTCCTGAGACCCAAATGCTGGTGATGTGATTGTTCACTCCTTCCTGGATCTCACAATCTTTTAAGCTGAAAAAAGTTCAAGATGAGTTTCTGTCTCTTATGGCCAAAGGATAGGGTATGATTAATTCATTTAAGTTTTGAAAATAGGAAATAGGAGGGCGCCTGGGTGGCTCAGTTGGTTAAGCGACTGCCTTCGGCTCAGGTCATGATCCTGGAGTCCCTGGATCGAGTCCCTGGATCGAGTCCCGCATCGGGCTCTCTGCTCGGCAGGGAGCCTGCTTCTCCCTCTGACCCTCCCCCCTCTCATGTGCTCTCTCTCTCTCATTCTCTCTGTCTCAAATAAATAAATAAAAAATCTTAAAAAAAAAAAAAAAGAAAATAGGAAATAGGAAAACCTTATTTATGGCTCAATATGAATAATTATAAATCTTTACCTCTGAATGCATGAAATATCCTCTGTTATGCTAACTGGCAAGGAAATGCTGAAGAAACACTCTTAAATCCAGAATTTTCAATGTGCTTTTAGGGAACTTTCAAATGGCAAGAGAATTTGTAATCCCTCATAAGTCAACAAAGTGTTGTACTCAGGTTTGTTTCTTTTTAACTAACGTGGACCATTCTGTCATGATAGAGTAAATCAGCAATACTCGTAAAACAACCTCTATTAACACTAACCTTAGTGTATGCTAAGGCTTAGATGATCAACTAGACATTTTCAATTGATGACAGCACTGAGAAGCTCGAAGATTGAAAATGTCAATCACTATGATTAAAGAATGTTACACTGCTTGTTTACCTGATTTCGTAAAATTTCTGCAGTTTAATATAAAGTCTAAACCAGAGAAACCCAGACTGAGGAGGTGAATCTTTCTCTTATTTTAAGACTATTTACTTTGGGTTCAAAATCATATTCTTTAATTATCAACTGTTACGAAAGTAGGACAATCACAATGAATACATGTAGAAAAAGTTGTTTGCATAAGAAGCTCAAACTCTAATTCAACAGTACTAGTACTAGTACAACTAGTACAACACACCAGCTACTTACTTTAGTTCCCGTGCTATCAACAGCTATAGAATCCACACTTCCAGCATGGCCTCTGCAGCAGTGCAGGGCTTTCACTTTGTTTCTCTCCACGTTCCACTCCCATAAGAGAATCGTCTGATCCATAGAAGCACTCAGTAGTAGGCAAGACAAACTATCTGAAGAAAGGAGAACAGAAGAATAAGAACAAATTAGTATAAAAATTTAAAATACATTGTGTTCTGAAACTGAAGAACTGAATTTTTGTTGAGAAAGACATTAGCCAGCTTTGAAAAAGAAGTAACTTATGGCATAAAAGGATGATTCTTCAAAAATACTATAAAATAGGAGTTTGACCCAGTATTAACTTGAAAGCATATTTTATCTGTTATAACTTAGTAAGGATTTAACTCTACCACTTACAGATTTTCTTACTTAGTCTTTTTCTTCTTGAACACTATATGTTTGAAAGACCTCACAAAAACTGAGGTATGAGGCCCTTCCTACACTGTCCCCATTCTGCCCCAGCAGTGAAAATGGCTTATTTCCAGTTGCCTATGCAGGATTCCTTTCAGTTTAGGCAAAGAGTCCTAACCTTTTTTCACCCAGGCCACATCTTTTACAACGTCTGTATGTCCCACAATTGTCATTATTGACTTTCCTTCCAAGGACCAGATCCGAGAAGTCTTATCATAAGAACCAGTCAAGATCCTATGAAGAGAAAAAAAAACTGTATGAAATAGAAAAAGCAGCTTTTTCAAAACCTGAAATCAATTATATTTCTAGAGCAATGACAAAGTAAACCTTCAGGATTATACTTAAAAAAATTTTTTAACATGAAGACTAAGATTTCAAAACACACTAGAATAGATCAGAAGAGGTTATATTTGACTTTTCCTGACCTCCTAAAAATGAAAATGTAACTGAAAAACCCTAGATTTCATTTTTACCACTGTTGTAAACATTACAACTCTCAGGGAATTTGCTTGTAAGGCTTAACAGTCCTTTGTACTGAACTAGTTAAAACCTTTTAATAGACATACAGTAAAATCATCTAAAGTAGAAGTAAAACCAGTAAAAACATCACTTGGGTAACAACTCCAGGAAGATATTCTTTGAAAGAAGTAAGCCTGTACTATGATCCACTCTCAAAGGGCTTTTCTACAAGTAAGCCCAGTGAGGGTTTGCTCTGGGCCATCCATACCTGCTCGAATCTAGTCTGCCCTTTTTAGTCCTAAAATAGCATGATCTGCATCTTCATGGTAGTAGGCTAGGAGATCTGTGGCTATAAAAAGGTTTTTTTCCCCTCTATGAAACAAATTTATCTTTGGTCTTATAAGCAACACACAAATGCCCTAAGACACTTGTCTTATCCAACAGACAAATGCCACTACAACATCTTGAGACAGAAAAGAAAACCTATTAATAGATAGGTTTCTTAAATAAACTAAAGAGAAAGATCTTTGGTATGGTCACCGATACATACAAAATTACTTTTACAAAGAACACAGAGTCAATCAGAAAAATATTCACATAGTACAGTTAAAAAAGACTAATAAAATGGATAGAAGAACATTCATATGGCAATACCATTCCTCTGCCCCTCGGACAGAACTGATCCAGTCATCGTGGAACATGCATTGCTCTGGCTGAGGGGCAGTGTACTTCTCCACATATTCCAATTCCACAACCTCTTCCTAGTCAAAGAGAAAAACCAGAAATCAATCAGGCGAGACAGTTTTAAAATAGTACACTATGAAAATAAAGGACTCCCAGTTTAATAGGTCTCCTTCATGTCAGTCCCCTCCATAACTCAGAAAATTTGGAGCCATGCAAAAGGTGAAAAACTTTATCTGACCTAAAAGTAGTATTAAGAAACACTAATGACCTTGGAAAATTTATGCCAAAAGTGGGGGAGAGGGGAGAAAATAAAAGAAACTTTAAAAAATAAAATCATAAAAGCATTCTGTTTAATGAGGATGATGAAAAAGTTCTGGATATGGACAGTAGTGATGCATGCATAATATTGTGACTGTACTTATTGCCACTGAATTATACACTTAAAGATGGTTAAAATGATAAATTGCAGTACATTTTATCACAGTTCTAAAACCTGCCTAAAAGTATAAAAGCAATTATAAATTTTATTTTAAATTATAAAAGCAATATTAAAGAAATTAAATATTAGAGGAAAGGGGAACCACTATAAATCACAATAACCTAACCCATAAGTTTTTTATGTGCATAATCCTTTTGTACACCTTTATTAGTAAACATATATTTGTTATTCCCTTTCTTGACAATTCTTCCACAAATACGAAAATTCCTTCCCATATCCGTTCATCTGCATTTCTTAATACACCTTCAGAAGAGGGGATTTCAAAATTTAATACACAAAAACTGAAGTTCAAATTTCTAGAAAAAAAAACAATAATCAAAAAAATCTTGGTTGCTAAAGATTCAGGTGATTCTAAAAGTTTTCCACATTATCTGAGAACACCGGACATAAAACAGAACAGGTAAACATTTGAACTTACTGATGAGATGTTTTCCAGTTCCATGTGTTTGAGCAAGGGCATTCGCAGAAACTGGCCCTTGATAAGGAAATCGAACTCCACATGTTTGTGGAACTCTAAAGAAAATGCATAATAAAATGATCACAACAGCAAAGGTATATGAGAAACCCCCAAACCTATTTTCCCTATTATCCCCAGTGTGGCCTCTGAGTTTCTCCGGAATTTCTTCGTGGTATGATCAGGCCATGTATTCCAATACACTATGTGATTTTTAAGAACAGAGTACTTTCTTCTGTTGGTGTAATTTTTTATTGGTGGTACTGGTATTTAAACAAACTTTTTATTCAATGGATAATTCCAAATATATATAAAAGTAGAAATAACATTATGAATCCCCATCTCCATCACATATTATGACAATTACCAACTTATGGGCAATCATCTATACACCTCATTCCACGCCTCTGCTGGTTTATTTTAAATCAAACCCTAGAAATGCTATCATTTTATCTGTAAATGCTTTAGGAAGTATTTCTAAAATATAAAGACTTAAAAAAATAGTGGCGATGATAAAAAATTTAATCATTATTCCTTTTAATATCGAATAGCCAATGTTCATATTTCCTTGTTTTATAAATGTCTTTTCACAGTGAGTTTTTTAGAATTAGCATCCAAAGTCCACACATATTTGATTAATATGTCTTATTTAATCTTTAACAGTTCCCCCTCCTCCTTTTTCTCCCTTGCCATTTATTTGTAAAAGACACTAGGTCATCTGTCTTCTAAATATTTCTTACATTCTGGATTTGATTACATCTCCAAGGCGTCCCTTAACATGTTTCCTCTACCACCTACATGTCCTGTACACTAGGCAGACCTAAACACTTGATTAGAGTTCAGGTTTGCTTTTTTTTTTTTTGGTAAGAATATTTACACACAGTATTATGTGTTTCCTATTGCATCACATCAGGAAGTGCATTATCTTGTTGTATCTCTTTCTGTGATGTGAAAATCTGTATCTGGGCTCTGATGATGTCAGTCTTATCCCATCCATCATAATATTCTGTCAGCCTTTTAACTAATTAATAGTTTTATCAGCTATTGATAATTACTACTTAACCCCATTATTTCACTTGGAGTTACAAAATGCTAAAAATTCTTCATTCTTTCTGCATTTATTAGCTAGGATATTTCTGAAAGAACTCTCATTGGATTATTTGGATTGTTAATTTTTAAAAATCTGAATCATTTGTATCTTTAACTCAAGAGCAATGACTTTATTATTTAATTTATAAAAAAGAAACCATTGTTCATTCTACAAATTTAGAAAAATATGCAACTGTTTGGGCAACAACAAACCTCCATATACTGGTAATGCAAAACATCTATTTCAAGAATAATTTTTTTTTTTTTAAGAGCGAAAGAGTGCGAGTGGGGGGGAGAGGCAGAGGGAGAGAGAGAATCCCAAGCAGTTTCCACACCCAGCAAGAAGCCCAACGCAGGGCTCAGTCTCACGACCCCTGAGATCATGACCCTAGCTGAAATCAAGAATTGGAGGTTTAATGGACTGAACCAGCAGGGTGCTCCTATTATGTATTTGAATAATTCTTATTCTAGTTCAGAGACTTTTTTTTTTTCTTTTTTTAAAGATTTTATTTATTTATTTGTCAGAGAGAGAGAGCCCAAGCAGGGGGAGCGGTAGGCAGACCAGGCAGAATAGGCAGAGGGAGAAGCAGGCTCCCCGCAGAGCACAGAGCCCAATGTGGGACTTGATCCCAGGACCCTGGGATCATGACCTGAGCCGAAGGAGTGGCTTAACTAACTGAGCCACCCAGGGGTCCCTCCCAGAGACTTTTTCAATAAGAAGAATATATGATAGTCTGGTAATTTAGAAGTAACTATGTATCAAAATCTCTATACATCAACAGATGAAGTAAAGATAAGGACCTATGAGAAATGCTTTGTGAATATCTCTGAATGAAGAACAATAGCTTGTTAGTAATGAAAAAATTGCAGACCCTGCCACCCACCCCACCAAAAAAAAAAAAAAAAAAAATTGTTCAAAAACATCTCAGGGGCGCCTAGCTGGTTCAGTTGGAAAACCATGAGACTCTTGTTCTTGGGGTCATGAATTCAAGTCCCACAATGGGTGTACAGATTCCTAAAAAAAAAAAAAATCATCTCAAACTTAACAAAAAAATTATGCAGTTACTTGAAGATGAAAAGGGGAAAATATTAGGCATTAATTTATAACTCTCACCTCTCCATTCCTCCAACTAGGGTAGAATCAAAAGAACTCTGAAGCATCAGAAACATCTGTTTAAAAATATGCTTGCTTTGGGGTACCTGGGTGGCTCAGTAGGTTAAGTGTCTGCCTTTGGCTCAGGACAATCCTGGAGTTCCCAGGATCGAGCCCCGCATCAGGCCCCCCCCTTCATCGGGGAGTCTGCTTCTCCCTCTCCCTCCCTCTCTCTCCCTCAAATAAATAAAATCTTTTAAAAAATAAAATAAAATAAAAACAAAACTTGTCAATGACATCACCATTTGGAAGCAAGCATATTTTAATTTTTTTTTTAATTTATCTTTTTAAAAGATTTTATTTACTTATTTGACAGAGAGAGATTGAGAGAGAGGGAGAGAGAGAGCATGCACAAGCAGGGGGAGTGGGAGAGGGAGAAGCAGGGTCCCTGCTGAGCAGGGTGCCTGAGGCGGACCTCGATCCTAGGAGCCTGGGATCACGACCCGAGCTGAGGCAGACATTCAACCAACTAAGCCACCCAGGTGCCCCAACAAGTTTTGTTTTTAGAGATCATGCTTTATGTTATTCTCAATGTTTCTGTTTAAATCTTCTATTTTTTGTATGGTTTCATTAATTTTTAAAAAAAGTCTTATTACAGAAAATGTCAAATATAAGCAAAAGTGGAGAATAACATAATAAACCTTCATATACCTCTCACCCAATTTCAACAACTATCAACTCATGGGCAATCTTGTTTCAGTATTTTTGCATACTCTGTTCATATTAATTTTATGGGCTAATAATTTATTTTCATACAACAGCATATGTTTTAATATTTATATCTTTTAAGTGTTTTACTTGATACCCTATATAAACCTTTATCCATTAATTTTTCAATGAATTCTAAATACTTAAAAAAATACCAGTAATAATACTGGCATCTGTTATTACACAAAATAAATACTCAAATAGTGACACTGTCATTTTGCTTTGTAGAAGTGTAGCAAGTAAGACCCAAGCACCTAGATGCCTGTTCTATGCCTACCCATCCAGCCCTCCCTAGCACAATCACAATGTCATAACTATTACACTAAAATATTATTCCTAAATCTCAACCACCTTACCTCCATATTGCCTTAAAAGCAGATTAAACTGAAATAATTTTTTCTGAAAACTTCTATTTCAAAGCACTTAAAAAAGTATCATGCAGCAGGGAAACCCATGTTACAGTTTATAAATTTTACCATTACAAAATGCATACAGTATCATTAAAATAAGGCCAAAAGAGGGGGAAATTAAATACAAATGTGATGTCTTTTAGTGTAGTTAGTGGCACCGCACCCTCTCCTAACTTCTCAAAGCCTTTATACCCACCATTTTTGGCCTCCAGCAATTTATTGATGATGTTACTAAGGTCAGCAATTTCAGAGGCTGCAGGAATTGAGAAGGGAACATCATCTACCGCATATCTGTAAAAAGGAAATGATATGTCAAAGTCAAGTCTACAGATATTTTAACAAATGTGCATTTATTCATTCAACAAGTATTTACTGGGTATTTAATATATGCCAGACATTTTGCTACGTCGGGTTAACAAAAACCAATTAGCACATGATCTCTGTTCTCAGAAAGGGTCAGATAATCAAAATACAATAAAAGTATATAAGAACAATGTCTTTTTTTTATTATGTTAATCCCCATACATTACATCATTAGTTTCTGATGTAGTGTTCCATGATTCATTGTTTGCGTATAACCCCCAGTGCTCCATTCCATACGTGCCCTCTTTAATACCCATCACCAGGCTAACCCATCCCCCAACCCTTCTCCCCTCTAGAACCCTCAGTTTGTTTCTCAGAGTCCATAGTCTCTCATGGTTCGTCTCCCATCTCCAATTTCCCCGCCTTCATTTTTCCCTTCCTGCTATCTTCTTCCTTTTTTTTTTTAACATATAATGTATTATTTGTTTCAGAGGTACAGGTCTGTGATTCAACAGTCTTACACAATTCACAGCAATGTCTTAAGTGATATATAGAATGGGAGAACAAAGAAGCTGTAGATCATTTCAACCAAAGGATAGAAAAATGGGGTGTAAAAGAATGCACAAGAAAGATCATTCTTAAGTTTTATCTGGAAAGTGACTTTGTCAGGTAACGGAGGTAGACAGAAAGGGTGCAGAAAAGCAAGAGCAGCAACCAATAGCTAAGAATTATTAAACTGCCCACTCAGCCTATTCCACAAAGTGTGATTTTGCTCTAGACAGTGACCAAAGGTAAGGTTAAGGAGATGTGCACAGAGTGGTTAATCTACTACGTGAAGTAATTTTTACTTCTTTCCCTAGGCAATGAGGTACCACTGTAGTAGTCCTAATTAAAGAATAATATCACCGGAATTTTGTTTCCTTAGATCTTCTTGGCAGCACTGTTGAGACCGGATTAGAGGAACACACAACAAGGGTCAAATTAGAAAACTCTTGTAAGAGAGAATGGGAGAAAATATGTGCAAATCACATTTCTGATAAAGAACTTGTATCTAGAATATATAAAGTACACTTACAACTCAATAATAAAAAGACAACTTAATTTAAAAAATGGGCAAAGAATTAAAAGACATTTCTCCAAAGAAGATATACAAATGGCCAACAGGCACATGAAAAAGATGCTCCACATCATTATTCACCAAGGAAACGTAAATCAAACCACACAAGATCAGCTTGCAGTCACTATAACGACTATAATAAAAAAGAATGAAATGTTGGTAAGGAAGTAGAGAAATTCAAACCCTTATTCATTACTGATGGGAATGTAAAATGGTGCAGTTGCTTTGGGAAAACCTGGCAGTTCTTCAAAAAGTTAAACATGGAACTACCATTTGACCCAGCAACTCCACTTCTAAGTATATACCCAAGAGAAATGAAAATACATGTCCACACAAAACCTTGTACACAGGGGCGCCTGGGTGGCTCAGATGGTTAAGCAACAGACTCTTGGTTTCAGCTCAGGTCATGATCTCAGGGTCTTTCTGATGACCTTCCCCAATAGGAAGAAGGAAGGGAGACGAAAGAAGGAACAGAAGAATAAGAGGCCATCACAATTCAAACCACAAATGGCAAATTTTAGTGACCACATAGAGTGATATATGGAATGATTCCAGAGAGGATAGCTAGCTAGCTACCTACATACATACATACACACATACATAGATTTAAACCTGTTGCATTGACCCACAATACACAAATATCTCCAAAAGAGGGAAAATTAGCATTCCTTTATTTTTAAAGATGTATCAGTAAATGAGAGACACACAATCTGAGCCCTTCCTCATACCGAAGATCAGCAGATAAACTGAATAAAAATCACTGTAAATACGCTGTTTGTCAGCAACCAGTCAGGAAAAATGGAAGGCAACAGCGGAGAGATGAAAAGAATAACTAATAAACAACCACAGAAATAGTCTGCCACAGGAGCGCCTGGGTGGCTCAGTTGTTGGGCGTCTGCCTTCGGCTCGGGTCACGGTCCCAGGGTCCTGGGATCGAGCCCCGCGTCGGGCTCCCTGCTCGGCGGGAAGCCTGCTTCTCCCTCTCCCACTCCCACTGCTTGTGTTCCCTCTCTCGCTGTGTCTCTCTCTGTCAAATAAATAAAAAAATCTTAAAAAAAAAAAAAAATAGTCTGCCACACATTGGGCTTTACTGTGAATTCGGCAGACCTGATCATATTTAAGAGGAGGTAACACATCTGTGAGCCAAGACAGGACTCTAGCCCAGAAAGCACACTGGATATCTTAACAATGTTTTCCGCAACATTGTATGAAAAAACAATGACAACAAGGAAGTTTGCTTCCCCGAACCACACTTTGACCCCACATTTTCTTTAATAACTAGCCTGAATTAAGGTAACTTGTTGGCGTTAATGCAGAGCATGAAGTCAGTCATAATACCTGGCTTGCTAAAATGTAACACAGAGGCCCCTGAGGGCGGGAGGTTTTCGGAGAAGGGCGTAGGCCTTTGGAATGCCGAGGCCCGCGTGACCACTCTGCCGTAGGAATGCCCCGGGGAGTTACCTTCCAGAAGCTCTCTTAGCCCAAACAGCCACCCTGTGATCTAAGAGATGTGTGCATTGTCCCTTAGGCTATGTTTAGTAGAACATGCAGATTAGCATATCTTATCTTTCCTGTAAATCCTCTCAGTTTCAGTAAGACCCCTTGTCACACATCATGTGCTTGAGAAACAGTGATAAGAATATCCTGAAGGACCAATAAAAGTGGAAGACAAGAAGAGCAAAGGGTCTTCGGCTCTGAGCGCCGACCCTCCTGACTTCTCCTCTCTTTCACAGCAAAGTCTGGAGTCACCTTTCATCCGTTGGTACAGGGATTGCTGGCCATTCCCAGCAGTAACTCCATTAAAAAATTAGTAATTATAACGAGAAAGTTTTGTGTGATAGTACAAAATTAGTTACGGAAACAAAATACCCCAATAATTGCTTCATGGGAAAAAAAAGGACAGTATGCTTCTTTATGAGTCCAGTGAAATTCAAGAAATCTGCTGCTTTTAAATAAAACAACAAAATCACAAAATAATAGTAATGGCTAACTCTACATGCCAAGAAATGATCTCAATTTATTGCTCAACCCTATGATGCAGGTGTGATTATATCTGAATTTACAGATGAGAAAACCAAGAAGCAGAGAACTGCATAATCTGTGCAGTCACACATCTAACAAGTGGGAGATCCAGGATTCATATTTGGGCAATCTAGGTCCACAGTCTGCTGTCTGCACCATTATGTGATGCTGTCCATAAAGGATACCAAAATCAACTTTTAAGTCATTTAAGAAAGAAATGGAATTCAAAAAATAAATTTAATAATGAAGACTACTTTAAAAGCAGGACATAGAATTTAAATAAAAATTTGAATTAAAAAAAAATAGCAGCACAGGCAGTGGCTTCCTTTGCTACAGCTTGTGGACAGGATTTGCTATTTCATTCTGGGTATATTCAGAGTAAAATATCTCTAAATCATTCTCTTCAGTTCTAATATTCTTATAACCTTAAAGCTTTGCCATGTTTTAAAAAGTAACTAATACAGGAGCTTCTGGGTGGCTCAGTTGGCTTGATTTCGGCTCAGGTCAGGTCATGATCTCAGGGTCATGAGATTGAACCCCACGTCAGGTTCCAGGCTTAGCTCTGAGTCTGCTAGGGACTCTCTCCCCTCCTTCTGCCCCTCTCCCCTGCTCACTCTCTGTCTCCCCCCTCTAAAATAAATAAATCTTTAAAACAAGAACAACAATAAAACCTTGTAAAAAGTTCACATCACCACAACTCATAATAGCCAAAAAGTGGAAACAATCCAAATATCCATCAACTTAAAAATTGGAAACAAAATTTGGTATCCCATATATCCATATAATGGAATATTATTTAGCCATAAAAAAGAATGAGTACTGATATGTATTACAATATGGATGAATATTGTAAACATCATCCTAAGTGAAAGAAGCCAGTCACAAAAGACTACATATTATATAATTACATTTATTTTTTTAAGATTTTATTTATTTGAGAGAGAGTGAAAGCTAGAGAGAGAGAAGCAGACTCCCCACTGAACAGGGAGCCCGACGTGGGGCTCCATCCCAGGACTCTAGGACCCTGACCTGAGCCGAAGACAGTTGCTTAACCAACTGAGCCACCCAGGCGCCCCTATATAATTACACTTATACGAAATGTCCATAACAGACAAATCCACAGAGACAGAAAGTAGATTAGTGGTTGTCAAGGGCTGGGGTTGGAAGGATTAGGGGATAATAGCTAAATGGTGGTGGAAAATGTTCTAAAACTATAGTGATGGTTGTACAATTTTGCAAAAACTGGACACTTTATTTCTATTTTATTTTTTTAATTAAAAGATTTTTTTTATTTATTTGACAAAGAGACAGAGAGCACAAGCTCAGGGAGCGGGAGAGGGAGAGGGAGAAGGACCCTGGGATCATGACCTGAGCCAAAGGCAGAGGCTTAACTGACTAAGCCACTCAGGTACCCCAATATTGCACACTTTAATGTGTGAATTCTGTTGTATGTGAATTATATTTCAAGAAAGTTGTTACTACAAAAAAAAAAAAAAAAGTCTAAAGCCTGATTTAAAGCCCTAGCTGTGGGGAATGGAAAAGTTTCAAAAGATGTTAAGGTAGAATCCAGGGGCTCTAAGGTAGAATCCAGGGGCTCATCAAGACATGATACAATAAATCTCTTTTTGCCACAATGAGGGAGGGGGCTTCAGATCTTGTTAAAATGTAGATTTTCAATCAGTAGGTCTGAGGTGGAGTCTGAGATTCTGCTTTTTCTAATAAGCTCCCAAGTGATGCTGATTCTGCTGATCTTCAAACTACACTTTTAGTAGTAAGGCTACAGTTATATTTATATGTATCAAACCTAAAAAAAAAAAAAAAAGCAATAATTTAGGTTCTCCAAAAGATAACAAAACCTAGGTTTTTCTGGGGGCGCCTGGGTGGCTCATTTGGTTGAGTGTTCAACTCTTGGTTTTGGCTCAAGTCCTGATCTCATGGGTGGTGAGATCGAACCCTGTGTTGGGCTCAACACTCAGTGGGGAGTCCACTTGGAATTCTCTCTCTCTCTCTCTCTCTCCCTGCCCCTCCCCCCACTTGCACATAGGTGCTCTCGCTCTCCAAAATAAATAAATCAATCTTACAAAAACCCAAAACACTCCCAAAGTTTTTGGCTTTTCCTTTCACTTACTATTTGGTCAGTAAAATGAGGGGGAGAAAGCATAATTCATATACATGTATATGTAATTTATATACATATATGTGAAAAAAACTAGTCACCCCCCATTTTACTCACCAGAACATATTATGTATAAGAAGCAAAAACTTAATTTTTAGGTTTTGTTACCTTTTTGAAGAATTTAAACACACACACACACATATATATATAATGTTTATCCATTTATCTCAGGGGTTAAAACATAGTGGTCTATTATTTCTTAAAAATTCATGTGAATCAACAATTATCTCAATAAAAATTTCAATTAGAAAAAATACAGTGGTTATGTTATTGTACCACATTCCTTGAAAAGTATCTAGACCAAGTATAAATACTCATGTGCACTGATAATACAATTTATGTATCCTGTAAGCAACAAGAGGAGTGAATGATTTACCCCGTCAACTCATAAAACTACAAAGAATCAAAGACATCATCTTAATTGAGGTGGGAGTTTTCTAGTTTACCACTGACATTAGCTTGTTAATACAACAAATATTCATTATATATTATCAGTACGGAAGAACCTGACAAATATTTGTTGACTCAGTCAATCCAAGAACTGTAATACACGGTCCCCTACCATCAAAAGACTTACACTATACCTGAAGAGACACTAAGAAAAATTAATAGTGTAATATACACCGCAAGACTGAATACAATTAGGTTTCAAATGAATGCTACTGACCTAGGGACCATTAGTAAAAGTGCTCACATATACATATACACACGCATATATATACACATACATGTGTAAGCATGTATATAAATACACAAACCTGTAACTGAATTGACTTTATCAAAATACTCCTAAATACTCTTTATCAAAAACCAGTTCTACCAACCCCCTATTCAGAGTTCCACTATCTAGCCTGGTTTAGAAAAACATCGTCTGGGCGCCTGGGTGGCTCAGTCGTTAAGCGTCTGCCTTCGGCTCAGGTCATGATCCCAGGGTCCTGAGATCGAGCCCCGCATCCGGCTCCCTGCTCTGCGGGAAGCCCGCGTCTCTCTCTCCCACTCCCCCTGCTTGTGTTCCCTCTCTCGCTGTGTCTCTCTCTGTCAAATAAATAAATAAAAAATCTTAAAAAAAAAAAAAAAGAAAAACATCGTCTATCACCTACTTAAAAAGAAAATAAACCTGTGTTTTCTGAAACTGTGAAACACCACTAGCAGGCAGCCTGTAACGACTAGGTCCATTGTTCACTTTTTAAAATTACGTATGTGCTTCATTCAGGAAGCAAACTTGAAGCCCTTCAGATCCCTCTACACTCGCAGTTCAAATTATACACAGCCTAGGAAGCTAGGCAAATAGGATCTGTGATCTCAGAGGTCGATCCCGGAGAAATCCTGGGAAGGTATAGCTTCCGATTGAGCGGAAAACTCGCTCAAGCCAGGAGTACGGGGGGGGCGGGGGGGGAGGAAGAGGGGAGACATTGAGAGCAAAGACAACCGAGGCTCCACAAAGTCATACGGAAGGAGTTCTTGGGAAGGATCCTAGGGAGGCGAGAGGAGAGGAAAGAAAAGGACGCTTACTTACTTCTTGTTGTCAGTGAAGAAGCGTGTCTGGAGCTGAGCCATGGCTAGGAGTACACACAAGGCTTGTCTACAGAAACGTAAGGGGTAATAGTCAGACAACAGGCTCTCTGGTCTCTTAAGACTACAAAAAGAGGCAGCTCAAAATTAACTTGCACAGATACGCGAGAAGATGCAGTCTTCTGGGCTTCCGCTTTCCTTCCTCCGGCCTCCACAGCAACGAGACAAGCACGAGGCTGCTCTTACACAGAGACCCAGCCCACAAACATCAACTACCTATTCCTAGATTTAGGAATCATCGATTAGTGAAGCATAGTTTTAAAGGCGGAGTGTCCCTAATTTTTAAAATTTCTTTTAATATATTTAGGCCTGTGGTCGATTATGAAGATACGGAAAGGCCCAATTCAAACTGTTTCTATCTCTTTTTAATTTTAAGAGGTTGTCTTCCGAACCGATACTCCAAACACAGTTCCTAGACACTACCACTCCCAGAAAGCAGCGCTTCTCAGACGCTGTAACCACTGGGAATCGTAGTCTTTTTTTGCCATGCTGTCCTCAGGATATCTTATTTGCTCCAGTCAGATATCTATTATATTTCCTCTGCCTTCACCTTTAATTTACTAAAGGCTTTCCGGCTTTATTTTCTTACGCATACTCCCAATCATAACCTCACTCTACCGAGACTTTCGGAGGGCTCCCACCTCTAGCTTCAGGCTTTAGATCCAGGCGAGAGTCAGGGATACGGAAAAAAAAAAAAAAAAGAACGAATCAAAAAGGAAACGGACGACGGTGGCCGATAGTGGTCTAGTCTCACAGTACTGCGCTGCGCGCTCTCAGAAGGATGCGCCTGCGCATTGTGCTGGTCTCCATGGCAGGGCCTCGGAGCCAAGACGAGGTTGAGTAGACTCGTTTTGAATTTTCTCCCCTCTGCTCCGGCACCTTGTGAACTTCCCTCCTCGCCCTGTAGGGCTCTCGGAAGCGGCGGGACTAGGGGAGTTGGGGGTTTGACCGAGTTGTCGGCGCCCACGAACGGGACACTACTTCCCAACCCCCATTTCTTTCCTCCTGCCTCCTCCTCCCGTCACCTCCTGACCAGCCTGCTCCCTGAGCAACCGCTGGTCCCCGCCCCCATCTGCAGTCGGGTCCGGGTGGTGCCTTCCGCGCCCAGCCTCGGGGCCTTTTCGGGGCCCCACACGATGAGGCCCACTACTCCCCTCCCGGGGCCGCGCTGGGGCGGGGGGGGGGGAGGCGCTCGGGAAGGCAGGCTGGAGAAGGTGGAGATTAAGTGTCTGGAGGAGGGTTGCTGAGCCTCAGGACGCGCCACCGCCGCGGAGAAGGACCCGGACCCCCCTTGGGCGGGAACGCCTAGTGTGTGGTCCTTCACGCAGCCAAGAGCCCCGCTTTTTAGATTTTGTGTTTTTTGTTTTGTTTTGTTTTCTCCTTATGAGCCCATTTATATCTTCTGGTTAGAAGGGGAAAGGCGTCCTCCCCCACATTCTCCTGCAATTTTTGACTTTTTTTTTTTTTTTTTTGGTCTTTAAGTTACCTAAAGGCCTATGCCTTAATCTAAATGGTCCGGAGAGTTATTCTAATTGAATTTAGTCATTTCTCTGTGAGAGGATGGATGGAGAGATACTATCTAGATCTCAAAGTCAAATTTTAAGTCGTTCGCCAAAACTGCGAGAGGAGGACTTGAAGAGACAGCAGTTTAGAATCAGGCTAAACTGGATTGCAGAATTTGTGGGCAGAGCGGTATGTGTGCAGGTGAAAACAACTAAAACTTTCCTTTACGTTGTTTAAAGATGCGCTGCAATTAAGTAGGCACCTGGTATTTAAACCATAGCCTCTGAGAAAGTATTTAAACAACTGTAAGCGGAAAAATAATCTTTTATTGGAAAGCAATGATAATGAAAGTAGGACAATTTTCAGTTCACTCACCTTTCTAGAATGCGGGCTCTTGAACCTGAATGCCTCAACCATTTATTAACCGCTCTGTGCCACACTTGGGTCACTGTGAGAATTAAATGCCACAAGTAAATGTTAAATTTATCACCATCATTATCATTTAGATGTCTGTTGGCTAGAACCTTTGCCAACCTGAACAAATAAGAGAGAATAGCTTCATGGTTAGAGGAATAAAAAGAAAATCTCTCTGCTGAAGTCCTAGGAAAGGAAGGACTGGGCTTGCAAATAGAACCTGTGGTCATTTAACCATGTGACTCATTGTAATGGTGAGAATTGTATGCCTTAGACCACCTGAAGCTTGAAACACTTTCTTAACTGAAGTCTTGCTATTTAATCCATATTTTCTGAATTTGGTAGACGTGGAAAGAAATTTAACAGTTTTAAACATTTTCCTTTAATCATAAGTGATTTTTTAGTTACAGCAGTAAAATTGACTGAATTAACATTCATAGAGCTGGAAATAATCTTCAAATAATTAGGTTCTTTTTCAGATTATTTTTTTACTATTGATAAAATATTATTGGTTAAAATATCTTTTAAAAATTTATAGTTAGAGGGGTGCCTGGCTGGCTCAGTCAGTGGACCATGCATCTCTTGATCTCTGGGTAAATTCAAGACCAAAATTGGGGGGGGGGTGGAGATTACTTAAAAATAAAATCTTAAAAATAACAAAAAAGGTATGGTTAGTTTAATAAACTTTAGCGATCATTAATTTGACATTTAAGAAAGTACAATACCTGATAATCACTATAGGTTGATCTTAATTTGAATTGAGAAGTATGACCAGTAAGATACAGAACCTAAATATATACTTAATAAGATAAAACTTCAATTTGCAAAGCAGAGATGTTGAATTCACTAAAGTACATTTTTCATTTGAGACCTTTTTTTAGTTAAGGAAAATTATAAGTGTTCTAGAGTAACTGAACACCCACTATGATGGCTTTGGTGTTTTTTTAGTAGTGACTCGTGTCATATTTGGTGTTCTCTCCATGCAGTAATTAGGGTAGTACTTTTGAGTGTTTTTCTTAGAACATTAACTTCAAGCTTTTTGTTCTTGATGATTTCGTACGTGATTCATTTACTGTGGTCTTCATGAAGACACATTGTTATCTGGAAAATCACAGCTTGGAAGATATGTGTTTCTATTAAAGGTTTCTTTTTTTCTGCATGTAATGGCATGGTATGGTATGATCTGAAGACTATGCATGGGCTTCAGAGTTCTGTTGTTTTGGGTTTTTTTTTTCCAGCTTAGTTTTGAATCTGAGCTCTAATGCTCTCTCTGATCTTAGGCAAGTTACTTGACAGCTTTGGTTTTCTTATCTACAGAGATAAGATCCAACACGGTGAATGTGAGGATTAAATGAAATAATCTGTATAGCTCTCAAAGAGCAAAGAGGTAAAATGAGGTATGTATTTACAGGGTAAGAAATGGATAGAAACCAAGATTATAGGGAAGCTTATAGAGAGGGCAAACCTTAGATTAAAGAGACATTGTGAACACTAGCCTTAAATTTTTTTCACTGAAAAGTTAAAATAAGTTATTATTTATATATATTTGCATACATTTAAAATTTTGATGTTGACTTAACACATAACTTTCCAGACCCATCATTAAAAAAAATAAATTGTTGGGCGCCTGGGTGGCTCAGTTGGTTGGGCAACTGCCTTCAGCTCAGGTCATGATCCTGGAGTCCCGGGATCGAGTCCCGCATCGGGCTCCCTGCTCAGCGGGGAGTCTGCTTCTCCCTCTCCCGCTCCCCCCTCTCGTGCTCACTCTCTCTCTCTCTCTCAAATAAATAAATAAAATCTTAAAAAAATAAAAAAAAATATAAATAAATAAATTGTTCTTTTTTTTTTTAAAGATTTTATTTATTTATTTGACAGAGAGACACAGCGAGAGAGGGAACACAAGCAGGGGGAGTGGGAGAGGGAGAAGCAGGCCCCCCACTGAGCAGGGAGCCTGATGTGGGGCTCGATCCCAGGACCCCAGGACCATGACCTGAGCCGAAGGCAGACCCTTAACGACTGAGCCACCCAGGCACCCCAAAAATAAATTGTTCTATCAAATACTTGTGAACTAGGAGTCTTGATTTAATTTTTGACACCACTGATTGATAGTAATTTTGTATACATCATAAAAGGAATATTGTGTCATTTACCTACCCTAAAAGATGAGAGAAATTTTATTTTCTAAAGTACTTTTGAGCAACATTTTTTTAATGTTAATAAGTTAAAATATCTGGCCCTGATATTTAATATATTTCAAGATCCTTTAAATCTTAGGACACTAACAAGGGACCTAGAATTAGAATCTCTAAGACTAAACTAAAAGTGGCTTCATCATTCAGTTACCCTGTTTGGGGATTTATTCTCAGGTAATTGGTTTTAACAGATACATTTTACCACACAAAAGTCTGTAGAGGAAACTCAACAGAATAATCAGATGTTAAGAGAATTACCTGTAAAGTTTTGAACAAATCAAATTTGCTATTGAACAAAAGCAAAACAGCAGTAGCCCAAATATGGTCCACAGAGATATGAGTGAATACAGCCTGAATAGTCAGTCTTTTCCTTTCTGCCATGCATTAAATATGTATAAACAATAAAAAGCCCTTTTTCCCCTATAAAACATGAAACTTCTATTTTAACAGTTTCTTCCTAATCTTTGCTTTTGATATAAGGTAAAATCCACTTTTTTAAGTGATGTGAAATATTCTAGAAAGCAATTTGACAGCAAAATGTAATGCTTTAGTGTGTGTTGTGAACTCCAATCATTAGCTGTCTATACATGTAATACGTTCTTCTTTCTGTTTTATGTAATTCCAATATGATTTGCTTAAAAGCTAACCTTGTCAAACCAGTTCCAGGATTTTTTACAGGGTGTACAGGTTTAGGGAGGGCAGTCTTTGTTCTCAAGCTTCTGTGGTTCCAAAAAAATGCCCTGTTAGTAAATATTTCATGAGAGATGCAATTTACTGGGGAGGTCTTTGTTTCAGTAGTAGTTAAAGAATGTGAGTTGCAACAAAACCATAGTCCAAACACCTAATTTTAGATAAGGAGACTGGCACAGAGAGATTAAGTCACCTACTCCTGGACACATGCAGTTATCTATAAAGTCAGTCCTAATCTTTAGTTTTCTTCAACTGAGTTAGTTGATGGATCTACTGTACTGGGATGGTAATGGCTATTTTATAATAAAACCTGGATAACAAAATCTAGTAGTTTTCTTTATGTGTAGGAAAAGAAAATATACAATGAATACCTTCTCATTACAGAAAAAATGCTGCTGTGAAGACATAATTATAGCTCTCACGCAAATGAAGCCACAGCTATCATGATTTAGTGCCCCCCAAAGGAAGAACTTAAGTGGACAAGAGAGGGCATTTCTGGGAATGGTAGAATGCTTGAGGCCTGAAATGAAATTTGAGCTACTACCTGAAGGTAATACTTTTATTTTTAACTAATTGAAAGTAACAGCTCTATAAAAGTTAACTATTACCTATTACATATTAATGAAAAATCAAATTACACTTTGTATATAGGTACTTTGTTCTGTTTATGTTTACCAGTTGGAAGAAAATACCTAGATACTTAATATCTTCATTCTTAAAAATTTCACTTTGACATAGTTAATTGAAAGTTAGGGGGCACCTGGGTGGCTCAGTCATTAAGCATCTACCTTCGGCTCAGGTCATGATCCGAGG